AATGACCATGCCCACGAGAAATATTGGACATGGCAGTGAACTGGGCCTTGACGTACGGGGCAGCCCGGATCAAGAGTAGGGGAAAAGTGTTTAGTCATGATCAGGGAGTTTTTCTGTGGGTCTCTGTGTGACCCTTTGCCTTCCCTCCCCCTTCACGGTCTAGGAGCGTATCCCGAGATGTTCTCTGGGCTTTCATTTGTTTTACTCTGTTACTCTGGAACACCTGGCAACCCCGTCTGTTTTATCAAGGGATTCCTTCTGTTTTGTTAATTAAACCCTTTTAAGGAGATTATTTGATTCTTGTGTCCCTGGAAGGAACAGGAAATCTATGTGTGTGTGTGTGTGTGTGTGTGTGTGTGTGTGTCTGCATGCCTAATACCAAGAGGTCAGCTACCAGAGAGTGCAGTCTGTTTTGTCTCCATTTTCCAAGCTCTCTCGTGGTACCCCTCTGGGAGAAGTCCAAGTGCTTCTTCCTGAGTTCAAGAAGAAAGGGGTTTTCTTCTGCTTCACTTGGAGGTGGCGGCTACCTCTCCCCTCCCCCTAAAAAGTGGGTGAATCTGTGACTCCAGGGAGTTTTTGCAGCAGAGCCTCTAGAAGGAAGGTATTTATGGCCTCTTGCAGGCCCCACCTTGTGGCCTTTCTGTGCCAGCTCTGACACCTATATAAAGGACTTTTGTGTAATTAGAGGCTCATTATAACAGGGCGCGCTCTTTGCTTAAGCGTGTCAATGACATTGGTTTTGCACCAAGCTAGCTCTGGTGTCCTCCAGGGGTCCGTGCTAGTCACCACTTAGGGAAGGGGGTAAAGAGTCAGGTGGCAATTTTTTCAGATGATAAAGCCTTCTCGTGATAGGGAATTCCCAGGCAGACTGCGATGTCCACCCTAATACGCCATTAGCTTTCTCGGTTACTAGGGCACCCTGTTGACTCCTATCCAGCTTCTCATCCACTGTAATCCCCAGGGCTTTTTCTGCAGAACTGCTACTTAGCCAGTCAGTCCCCCACCTGTAACGATGCTTGGGATTCTTCCGTCCGGAGGGCCGGACTCTACACTTGTCCTTGTTGAACCTCATCTGATTTCTTTTGGCCTAATCCTTCAATTTGTCTAGATGAATCCTATCCCGGTTCTCCAACGTGCTGTAACGATGCTTGGGATTCTTCCGTCCGGAGGGCCGGACTCTACACTTGTCCTTGTTGAACCTCATCTGATATCTTTTGGCCTAATCCTTCAATTTGTCTAGATGAGTGTGAATGAATCCTATCCCTGCCCTCCAACGTGTTTACCTCCCCCCCAGCTTAGTGTCATCCGCAAACTTGCTGAGGGTTCAATCCATCCCCTCAGCCAGTTCATTAATAATGATGTGGAACAAAGCCGGCTCTGCAACCAATCCTTGAGGCAGTCTGCTTGAAACCGACAGCCAATCAAATATCAACCAGACATCACTACTGTTGGGCCCAACAATCTAGCCAGCTTCCTATCCACCTTCCAGTCCATTTATCCAATCCCTGCTACCTTAACTTACTGACAAGAATATTGTGGGACACTGTATCAAAAGCTAAACTGAAGATATATCACATCCATTGACTTTCCCATATCCACAGAGCCAGTTACCTCCTCATAGAAGCTATTCTGGTTGGTCAGGCATGACTTGTCTTTGGGGTATCCTTGTTCACTATCCCTGATCACTTTTCCCTTTTCCAAGTGCTTCAAAATGGATTTCTTGAGGATCCCCTCCATGATTTTCCAGGGACTGAAGTAAGTCTGATTGGTCTGTAGTCCCCTGGATTGTCCTTCTTCCCTTTTATAAAGATGGGCACTATATTTGCCTTTTTCCAATCATCCCACACCTCTCCCGATATCCACAATTTTTTTAAGATAATGGCCAAAGGCTTTGCAATGACATTGGCCAACTCCCTCAGTACCCTTGGATGAATGAAATCTGGACACATGGATTTGTTTATGTCTATTTTTTCTAAATAGTTCTTGATACAAAGGTTGATGCAGGATGATTTTTGGTGCAATCATGCAAGGTTATTGTCTCTGTCAGATAAACAAAAACATTAAAAGGACATTACTGAATTTCTAGGTCATAAATTTAATCGTGATGAATGGACCCACTCTTTTTCTTGTTGAGTTGTACTATAGTATGTGAAATGTTATTCATAATGGAAAAGCGTTTGACCCAAATAGATTTCAGAACATGGTTTTGTGATATTAATTTTAAAGACATTACTTTTTGAATTTTGAATAAATTACTGTTCTTGCATGATATTTTAAAGAGTTTTTCACTTTTCTAATAGCGTTGGTTAGCTTAAACTTCATAATTTACAATTCATTGTTAAGAGTTTGACCCCTTGGATAAATAACACCTTGTTCTGGGCAGTTCACAGAAAAAAAAAACACTTTCTTTGAGAAATTGGAGAGTGTCCAGAGAAGAGCAACAAGAATGATGAAAGGTCTAGAGAACATGACCTATGAACGAAGGCTGAAAGAACTAGGCTTGTTTAGTTTAGAAAAGAGAAGATTGAGGGGGGACATGATAACCATTTTCAGATATCTAAAAGGGTGTCATAAGGAGGAGGGAGAAAACTTGTTCATCTTGGCCTCTGAGGATAGAACAGGAAGCAATGGGCTTAAACTGCAGCAAGGGAGGCTTAGGTTGGACATTAGGAAAAAGTTCCTACTGTCAGGGTGGTCAAACACTGGAATTAATTGCCCAGGGAGGTTGTGGAATCAACATCTCTGGAGATATTGAAGAGTAGGTTAGATAAATGTCTATCAGGGATGGTCTAGACAGTATTTGGTCCTGCCATGAGGGCAGAGGACTGGACTCGATAATCTCTCGAGGTCCCTTCCAGTCCTAGTACTCTATGATACTATGATCATGCTGTAGGTTTTCTAAAGAGAACGTGCCGAGACCGTTTGCCCGTACCCAATTGATCACTACTCTGGACGGCTGCTAAAACCATTGCTAACCAATTCTATATTTTGCATTTTAGATAGGGCTTGCTTAATTGGTTTGGGGTTTCTTTTAACTCTTTTTGACAATTCCGTTTGGCTGGGGATTTGCAGTTGTTGCTGGATATAAAGTTTTATTTACTGTTTTACAAAATCTGTCTCTAAACTAACCAGTTCCAGACCCTTCACTCAGTCTGCAGATGGCGGCCTCCCCGGTTCTCACCGCCTGCCTGGGTAATCCAGGAAATACCTCCTCTAACCTGTGGTGGCTGGGTGACCAAGCTGAGCCCTGCCCAGAGCAGGTTCCTCTCTGTCCCATCTCTTAGCCAGGCAGACATGCTCTCTGCTTCGGCCACTGCTGCAAGGGAGCAGGGGATTGCATGGAGCTGCTGACGGTGATGCTCTGGCCCTTCCCCTGAGCTGTGTCCTGCTGGGGAATCATTGAACTGGAAAAATCCAACGCTTTACCAATTCAAATTTTGAGCAATCACATAATGACGAAGCTGCCCCTATCCCGGACTAGCCAGCTCAACAACCATTGCATTAAGTAACTTTAATGGGTGAAGGGTACGACCCTTTCCCAGACCTTCCAGAATTCAGTAATTAAATTGCCTGTAAAGGGTTAAACTACCCTTTCTTTTCCTTTTGTTTGTGTGTCTAGAGGAGGAGCCGGGGAGAGAGAGAGGTACTGAACCAGAGATAAAGGCTCAGATTTTAGTGCTACCCATGCCAGAGGAAAGACTGAACCCTGGAACAAAGGATACGTAAGTGATCAGAGAATGTTTTGTTAGACACAATCTGGTTAGTTTCTTTGTGTTTAGATTGGATAAACTCCTCTGTGCTACTCCCCCACCTCCACACACTGTAACTGAATCCTACAGAAGCAATTTCCTGTGCTTTAATCATTTTGTATGGCTCTGTAATGTCCAGCAACCAAATGCACATTACCAGATGTGTCTTCTTTGTCTTGTTAATAAAAATTACCTTTTTAAGACTATGATCTGGCTCCAGTGTCCAAAAATAACCCAGAAGGTTCTGAGTGCCCGTGCTTGAGACAGAAGTTCTTCTAGTGGGTAAATTCCTTGTTAACAAACTATAATTTCTTAACAGCAGAACTTCAAAGTATTTTTTCTGGCTTTCAAAGGTTGTGGGTTTTTTCCCCCTATTTGGGTGATGGCAACGTACTGCCAAAGATCAGAGAGTCTATGAACTAGCAAAGTGTTTTTTTGATGAAAAGCCTTCAGTGAAAGGGTATTTTAAGGTCTCTTGTGGGTACCCCTCTTATACATTTAGGGCATGTCTATACTACATGGCTCCATCGACAGAGCCACGTAGATGAGTTTACTAGACATAGGAAAATGAAGTGGCAATTTAAATAATCACTGCTTCATTTAAATCAAACTGGCTGCCATGCTGTGCTGATCAGCTGTTTGGTGGCAAAATGGGGCAGTCTGGATGTGCCACGGTCAACAAGGAAGGCTTTTGTCGACCGCTCCGGTAAACCTCATTTCACGAGGCATACCGGAGTGGTCGACAAAGGCTTCCCTTGTCGACCATGGCATGTCCAGACTGCTCCGCAGTGCCGTCAAGCAGCTGATTGGCACAGCACGGGCGCCATTTTGATGTTAATGAAGCGGCAATACCCCTAAAGTCTGAGAGTAAGGAACAATGAGGGTAAACCAGTGCCCAGACTTGTGTTTCCAGCTAGTGCCTATTTAGGTTTCCCACACCAAGACACGTAGCAATTAGTGTCCCACGAAGTGCTGTAAATTATGGAATTGGGATTAGTTGGGTCGATTTCTCATAATTCATTTCTCGAATAAAAATACCATTTTTAACAAGTGAAGAGCAACAAATTTGCTTCACCAATGAGAAAAACCTCCAGTAGAGCGTGTCGTGTCTCATATTCACATTATCTCTCCTTGCAGGCGTCTGTACTGTGACCATCTCCCTAGGGTCTAGGCACCCAAGGTAGTCAGGAAAAGGCACAGTATAATCAGACACATCTCTACCTTCGACTTGGAGCACGTCTCCCCTACGCCATGTCATATTCCAACACAACTGTCTTCACCAACCCTTCCACCTTCATCCTGCTGGGCCTTCCTGGCCTGGAAAGGGCCCATATTTGGCTCTCTATCCCATTCTGCACCGTATACTTCATCGCCATCTTCGGGAACTTCACCATTGTGTCCATTGTGAAGATGGAGCCGAGCCTCCATTTGCCCATGTACTATTTCCTCTGCATGCTGGCCTTCACTGACCTGGTCCTCTCCACATCTATCCTGCCCAAAATGCTGGCGATCTTAATTTTCAATTCAGGGGAGATTGATTTCAATTCCTGCTTCATCCAGATGTTCTTCATTTATGGTGTTTATATGATGCAGTCTGGGATCTTCGTGGCCATGGCTTTTGATCGGTACGTGGCTATCTGCCATCCCCTGAGATATTCGACCATCATGACAAACTGTGTTTCCATCAATAGCACCCTGGCTGCTGTACTGCGCGGCATCATACTTGTCCTGCCCATGGTTCTTGTGGCAAGGCAGTGGCCATATTGCAGAACCAACATTGTCCCCTCTGTGCACTGTGGGCACATGAATGTGGTGAATCTGGCTTGTGGCGACACCCGCATCAGTAGTCACTATGGCCTGTTTTTGTTAAGCTGTCTGAATGGCGTGGATGTGTTTTTTATCGCTGTGTCCTATGGCCAGATCCTCAGGGCCATCTTCTGCCTCCCCACAAAGGACGCCCGGCTCAAGACTTTCGGGACTTGCGGCTCCCACCTCTGCGCCATCGCACTCTTTTATGTCCCGAGTCTGCTCTCGTCCCTCATATTCCGTTATGTCCAGAATGTGCCTCAGAACGTCAGTGTTCTCATGACCATTGTGCATTTCCTACTGCCCCCCATGCTAAACCCCTTCATCTATGGGGTGAGAACCAAACAGATCCGGGACAGGCTGCTCAGGCTAGTTCCACGTAAAGGCTCCTAATGTTTGCTTCTGGGGCTCTGGCTCTCGCAGCGAGCTCTGTGTGGGGCCGGCTGCTGACGAGACTCTTCCCCGAGTCAGCTCCTGGCCGGTCACAGACATAAAACTGTGTTGCTTCCCTCACTGCTGTGTCAGGGTGAGACCCTGGGGATGGGTCTGGGCACAGCTCTCGGACACATTGGGCCAGCACCTTGCTCATTGCAGGTGACTGGACACAGGCAGCCCAGCCAACTATCCTGCCTCTCCCTCACGGCCCTGCCCCTTCCCGGCCTACTGCCCCAGGATCTCCGTCGATCACTCCTCCCCTCCCCCATCACTCTCAGAGGGAAGGGAAGACACAGCGGTAGGGCCGACAGGACAGACAGGAGCCATGCAGGATGCTGGGAAGACGTAGAGAAGCAGCTGAGGGTTGGGAGCATGTTGTGAGGCAGGTGGCTGAGGCTGCGCATCTTACGGCTGGTGGTGCCCACAGAGGGAGGAGACCTTGGTGTGGCTCATTCCTTTCACATTCAGTTCCCTCTTGCTCTCTCCAGCTGGGACCTGCAGGTCTATAATTTGAGGTGGGCGGGTCAGGCCTCAGGGGCAGGGCAAATGATCAGTGCTAAAGCCAGGAGGACAACAGCTGAGTGAGGCAGGTGGATAAGTATCCGGGTGAGCTGGGATGGCAGGATGTCACCTTCCTGGGACCACAGAGCCCCCAGTACCTCATGGCTGGAGCTGGGTCATGTCACTGAGTCCATCACATGCTCAGCACGGCAATTTTGTCACTGCGTCTAGACAATTTGTAGTGAGGCTGCTCAGCAGTGTTATCCTCTGTCTAGAGGAACTGAGAGAGGCAGAGGTAAATGATTCACCCATGGACACACAATGAGTCAGTTTCAGAGATGGGTGCAGGAATCGAGAGTCCTGACGCCACAGCCACATTCCTCTGGCCAGGAACAGGTGCTGCTCCTCCATAGAGCTGGAAGAGACATCAGAAGGTCAAGTCCAGCCCCCTGCTCGAGCCAGGACCAATCCCAACTAAATCAACCTGGCCAGGGCTTTGTCAAGCCGAGACTTAAACACCTCTAGGGATGGAGATTCCACCCCCTCCCTAGGGAACCCATCCCAGCGCTTTCCCACCCTCCTAGGGGAATAGTTTTTCCTAATCTCCAACCTGGACCTCTCCCACCGCAGCTTGAGACCATTGCTCCTTGTTCTGCCGTCACTACTGAGAACAGCCTCTCTCCAACCTCTTTGGAACCTCCTGGCATTACTAAAGTAAGTGAGAATATTGCTTTGCCATGACCTGACCTGCACGTATTGGCTACATTTCCAACTTACCATTGGCCTCATCTGGCCACATGATATTTAGGTTCTTCTCTGAGCTCAAGCTACGGCCTGAGAGATCCCAGAAAGCTGTAGCTCAGAAAAAGGTTCTTGGGAAGCCTGGCATGGACAGTGAAACTCAGAACAATAGGAGTTCAATAAAACCTTTACTAAGACACAGGAAAGAAAAACAAACTGGGGTAGAGAGAAGGAGTCAAGAACAGAACACGGTGCTAGCACTCCCCAGGGAACATTTCTGAGGTAGGGAACTACTTAGCCTGGTGTAGGTACACCTGTCTCTGAAGAGCTGGCATGAAGAGATGGAGGACCAGCCTCGGTCCGGCCTGCCCGATGAATTCAGAGGGCCAACTAGGTGGTCTGTCAAGGGACTGAGCGGGACTGTGAAGCTGAGCTAATAGTCTGAGAGAGCTGAAGAACCAACGAACAGACAGAAGCGGAAGCAGGGATGTTTCACAGGCCTTGGCCCTGCTTAGTTCAGACCCCACCTACCCTGCCCAAATCGTATTTCCTCACCCTGAGAAATGTTCAGGTGCACGAACTCTACAGGTTGGGAGATGATGACGTCTATTCCTACCTATTACTGAGGATCACTCCCAAAACCGTTATCTTTGGCCTTCCTGGCAGCTTCTCTGCAGGGACCAACTGGCTCTGTTCCCTCATTTTGCTCCCCAAAGTTGAGGAGCAACCAAAGAAGCTTTTCATCCAGGCCAGCGCTTACAAGGGCCCCTGGTAACACCCTGGACTAACTTGCATTGGCTGTTTGTACAGGACACTGGCCTGCAGGTTTCTTCACTGCTTAATACTCCAGGTACCTACGAGTGCAACCAGGCTTGTGAAATACTGTTCATGCACAGTGGGATATAATACTCAGTTAGTATAAACCAGCCCAAGGGAAGCATGTTACCTGGTCCAGCAGCTATAGTACGACGGGGATTGTAGTGAGGCTGCACTCTGAAAGGTCAAATCAGGGCAATTACTCAGAGACTGGGCTACTCACACCCCACGACTGGGGCTTCTCCTCTATATGGCACATGAAACCAGTCACACCTGGCATGTCTGTTTGTCACTCTGACCAGCAAGTCACACAAACAACCCCCTGAGACACTCCAGCTTCTCCCGTGCAATAGCCAGCCCCGCTCAACACATGCAGGAGAGGAGACGAAAACCAATCTCGCCAAATCCTAACAGGGTTTCCCGATCCCAAAGAACCTGCCACATTCCCAAGTCAATTTATAGCTACGATCTCACGCCAAAGAGGATGCTCTGTGAGTCCTGCAACATCTCAAGGTTTGTTAATACCAGATAGAAAGAAAAGGCTCCGAAAAAATTGTGACGAAATGACGGCGCATAAACCAGTGTACATTTCTGGTGCAGGCTGGTTGCAGAGATGGAATAAAGAGCTGCCTTAAATGCCTCTGGGAATTGTCCTTTGTCGGGACAGGGCTCAGTCCTTCCAGGTTAAGTTCATAGCAAAGATGCTCTGGAAGGGATGAGCTGGAATGAAGACAGAGAGGAGGAAACCCCCAAGGACATCTTTATACCCTGCCCCTGTGGAGGGGACTCCCCTATTCTCTTTGTGTAACACAGGAGCAAGACACCTGTCCAAGCCTGACTCAGCCCTTTTTAGACTAACTCAGCTCCCAGGCTGGTGTGAACGTTCACAACAACGTTCCCCCTGTGGATTGGCACCACGTGAGGGGCGGTCAGTGAAGTGCAGCTGTGCCGCCCTCTCCCAGTGCTTTGGGAAGCCTGTTGCTGTCCCCCAGGAGCAAAGACGTGAAACACCAGCACAGAGCCAGTACTCCTGGCTTCCTACGCAGAAACGACACATTCATATGAGCAGCATGAACAGAGCATCACAGGACAGTGTGTCCCAATGGCCAGAGTCTACACTGCTGCCCTCACCATCAGGGCTGTGTGGCCCAATGGCCAGAGTCAACAGGGCTGTCCTCTCCATCAGGCCTCTCTTTGCTGCTAGCAGTGTCACTTTCCAGGTCTCTCTTGGGGGCTCAGGGCACCATTCACACTCATGCACAAGGCGAGGCAGCTGTTCAGAGATTCCCTTTTCGACATTATGTTGAAATATCGGCTTGCGGTGTAGACGCGCTCTTTGTTATTGAGGAACAGTGTCCGTTATTCTGACACAACGCTGGTGTGTAGACACAGCCTGTGCGGGCTGGAGTTGCTGTGATGCTGCCTGATGGCCTCCCCTGCCCACAGGGCCTCAGCCCCCTTCCCAGAGCTGCAGTGTCCCTGGCCCCAGACACCCTGTAGAGCAGCGGTTAGTCAGCCACTGTGCATTCTCTAAGTCTAGGCAATGACACCTGCCGTTCAGGCGCCTAGTGCGCCCTCTCCCCCAATGTCGGCCGGAGAGCACTCTTTGCGGTGTCCTTTTATAGATAGGTGCAAACAACGTACATCATTTCTTTACATACCGGGCTGCCGCCCTCTGTTGCCTAGTTACCACCCCTCACCTTACGGAAGGGAGACTCACTTACTATCTTTCGTGTTGTCAATCTCGACCCAGTCCTGAAGCTAGGTCGGTATGTGCATTAGTTTTGGGGGACTCTTAGTACCAAGACATTTCTTATTAAGATGTTCCGCTACTCCCCTCCGGCTTACAGTCTGTACTTGGTGCCTCCTATGTCCGTCCATGCGCCACATGACCTACACAATCACACAGTTATCAGTAGGGCCTCTTTATTGGCTCCTGTGTTACTGAACCAAAGTCTTGCTCACTAGGTTGCAGGTATGTTGCTATTTTCATGTTACAGGCCTCTTATATAGGCCTGCTGACTCCATGTTACTGGCCCTCCACTTACTACACAGGGATGTTCTCACACAAGGGCTGCGTCTAGACTGGCAAGTTTTTCCACATGCTTTTGGCAAAAGCACTGACGTTCTACTGTCTGAAATCAGTGCGTCTTGCGCAAATGCTTTGACGTTCCCGTTCGGGCAAAAGCCCTTTTCCGGAAATGCT